ATAAGGAGATGTGGTATGATTGCCAATGAGATAACTATCCATCATGTTCAAATGAATTGGATGTAAGCAACTATGGGCAACCGTACGGCCTTCAACAATGAGAAAAACCCATACCTTATAGTCAGCTATAAAAGGCCCCGAAATGACAAATGTAAAACAATTCAATCGAGAAAACTAACGGCCTGATTTATGCACAAAATAATGAACTAAAAACAAATATGATATACAGCAACAAACGACAACCATTGAATTACAGGCTCCTGACTTGGGACAGGCAAATAAAGAATGTGGCAGGGTTAAACATGTTTGTGAGCGGTCAACCCTCCCCTAACATGGGACAGTGGTGTTACAGCACAACATAAGAACAATTTTTTACTATAAAAAATCAGTTGAAAAGGGCTTAACTCATCAGATCGACATAAAGCAGAAAAAACATTTAAAAAAACACGGACCGGACGTGGCAGGGTATTTCAGACTATTCCAGAGACGGAACACGTGTAGTGCGTCCTGAATCATTTTTAAGGAAATGCAGCTTTGATCACCTAGTGATATGGTCCTTTAGTTTTGGTAAAACTTACTTTTATACGTTTCATATTGAGTTACCCCAAAGGTTGATTAGTGTGTATAGACATAGAGTCACCTTTACTTCTCAGGCAGTAAAACCAAGGCTAAGGAGAGGAGCCTGTTTGGCTGCACTGGATGTATAAATACGCAGTCACATCAAGTCGGTTAAGAAGCTTAATCCGAAGCCTTGGTGTAGGGAAAGTGTCATGATCTCTGGACGTTAGAGAACCGTTGCAACCACTCTTTGGTGGATTCGTAGATTTTCTGTTGCAAGGCAAACATTTCTCTCCTATCGATCATAAGCTCTTCTTTCGAATTGGTAGCATGTATTTCCTTCGCTTCATCCCTGTCAACCCACTATCCAGAGCATACCTTTTAACCCACTATCCAGAGCATACCTATTAACCCACTATCCAGAGCATACCTATTAGATTTAATGTTTATTTGTTCTAGTCCTGAATATGCATTATCAAATATTTTTGACTGGACATAAAACAAACTTCAATTTGTGACTGGACATAAAGCAAACTTCAATCAGCTAGTCTATCAACAAATCAAATTATGTAAAAGATTTCTACGATTTTTGTTATATTCAAGGACGACTATTACCAAGCAAGCTTGCAATAATGTATATAATCTTAAACTATGTGATAGTATTCCAACACACCATAGTACAAAATTAAACATAATCATGTTGAAATATGTAGACTACGGAAAATTTTCTATACTTTGCTTTCTTGTACTGCAACAAACTGCTATTATGTGCCGTCTTGAGGTCATATCAAATATATATAGGTAGCATACATAATTTAAACGGGAACTAGAAAATTGTTATATAATTTAAGGGGCATGTTAAACATTAACTAAGCACATTATCCACATGTCTTCCATGTATAAGAAAATAAAAGTTTTCCCATATCATATCATTACAATATTTTTACTGACCTGATCTTCCATAATGTAATTACCTCCCTTTGTACTTGATCATTTTCATTCAAAAGTATAAAAGATTTTATTTTATTATCTTCATTCTGTTTGGTAACGTTTATTATCGGGTGATCTGCTACATAAACAAATGTATAATTTAAATGCACACTGAATAAACTATGGTTAGTTGGAGCCTATTAATATTTGATTATATTTAAAAATCATTGATAAGCAATGAATCGAATTGCAAAATTTTATCTAGATATCGTATTTGTGCTAATACATTTGTACATGCCTAAGAAATTATCTCCCTCTTCACAAAAGCTATAAGATTATTCTACTGGTCGAGATTAAAAAGGGGTTGAGTGGGTTCTCATAACGCTAACTGGAACTCACCACATGTTAATGTGTCTGTCCCAAGTCAGTACACTCGTCAGTGTATAGATAGAACCATCTTTTAAATTTATTCACGCCTATTAAGCTCACCTGGCCCAAAGTGTCAAGTGAGTTTTTCTCATCACTTGGCGTCCGTCGTCTGTTAACTTTTGCAAAAATCTTCTCCTCTAAAACTACTGGGCCACGATCATCATTTGGATATTTAGTTTAAAAATTGTGTCTGGTGACCCCTCCTGCCAACCAACATGGCCGACATGGCTAAAAATAGAACATAGGGGTAAAATGCAATTTTTGGCTATTATTTTGAAAACCGCTATAGATAGAGAAAATATGACAGCGGTCAAAATGTTCAGAATGATGAGATTTACCAACTGATAATAGAAATCGAAATTGTCAGACGACTTCTTGTGGCCCTTAATTGATGAATTTTACCATTTTTTTTTTATTTTTGCTCATTATCTAAAACAATTATAATAGATAGACAGAAACTTTAAATAGCAAAATTGATCAGCAAGACAGTATCTACAAATAAGCCATCATGCCCGAAATCTTCAGTCAACTCGTATCGGGAGTTATTGCCCTTAATGATAATTTGTACTATTTTTTTTTTTTTTGCCTTATGTCTATTATCTTGAAAACTATAATAGATAAATAGAAACTTTAGGAAAGAAAAGTGATCATAAGGATAAGATCTAAAAATACGTCAACGACTGAAATTGTCAGTTAACTCTTAATAGAGTTATTCCTTTTTAATTATGATTTTTACTAAAAAGTTGTCATTGTGGAAGATGCAGGTGAGCGACATAGGCTCCTTAGAGCCTCTAGTTTAGACTCGGGGAGATTTAGAACTGAACATATCATACAGACACTTGTCTCATTTGTGAATTCCAGGCACTTCGTCAGCGGTTGTCTTGTGTCATATCTGTATTTTATTAATTTAATTTTATGTTTTAACAATTTGATGTAGACGGCAGATCTTTGAATTTTTATTTTTATTTTTCAGAACTTTATCAGACACATGACAATTCAGAACTGCAGTTATTGCGTAGACATCTGTCTATTGTTGAACATTGTATTTTCCCCTTTAAATGTCGGTTGTTCATTTTTTTTGTTGGGTTGTTGTCTCATTGATGATACCTAAAATCTCCTTTTGTTTATACTGGTGTGGTATGTTGTACTTTACACTATAATAATTGTTTTCTTAATTCTCGTCATTTCTTAATGTTTTACAGTTTTCTTGGAATAATTTGTAAAATTATACATTTCAATGATATTTAGAATTTAGAATTGTTTATATATACATATACGTTTAAAAAATAAATATCCATTGAAAAAATGACAAATAATGCGTAAATGCACATCTATCTATATATATTTCAATGGTTTAAAATTTCCAATTTAATTTTGAATACGTCTGATAAACCTTGTTAAAGGCTATTTACCCTTCACGGTATAGGATAATTTAATCAAATGGTTCTTATCATTGCATCGTCAATATAAATTGTTTGATTAAATATCCTATTTCCTACAATAAAATCAAATATAAGTAATTCAATTAACCGATATAAGAAATAAACATTTTACTACAACGTTATTTTTTTTTATTGAAAAATAAGAAATGTAGGATGTTTCAGACTTAATTTGATAACAGAGCTATCCAAAAGTGGTTTATATTGTGAAAAACATTGCTTTATATTTCATAAATGACCATGAAAAATGGGAGTATGTGTAGCATTAAAGTTCAGATAACTACGAAGCTCAAAAATTACCTTTAGTTTGCGTTTGTTGTCGTTTGCTCAAAATTTTGTTACATCAATAAAAGTAAGTGTGACTAAAATAAATATAGACTAACAACGATTTTGTGTGGAAAAATTATTGAAAATTCTGTAGTTGAAGCCTCTATGATGTTTTCATATCGGTATCTTTTCTGAAAAGGCAACAATCAGATTGTGGAATGCTTAACTTGCTTTTTTGACAAAACTCAGTTCATATTAGCGAGCTATGGCAAACCCAACTCGATCGTGTATAAATCTCTATCATCCCTTGTTACATATTGCAGTTTTCAAACAAGAGACACACAAACTAAATCAAAATACATATCAGTACAAAATACTAATAAATTAATGTCCCAAGTCATGAGCCTCTGGCCTTTGTTAGTCCTGTATGTTTTTTTAATTTTAGTTCATTTATATGTTTTGGAGTTAAGTGTGACGTCCATTTTCACTGAACCAGTACACAATTTTATTTAGGGGCCAGCTGAGGACCACCTCCGGGTGCGGGATTTTCTCGCTGCGTTGAAGACCCGTTGGTGGCCTTCGGCTGTTGTCTGCTCTTTGGTCGGGTTGTTGTCCATTTGACATATTCCCATTTCCATTCTCAATTTTACTAGTAAGCAGTTAACTGCATAATATCTGTAAAGTAGAAAACAAAAACACAAGATTAAGCATAACAATATAAAATTATTGAAGAATGATGGTAGTTACTGAAAGCAAGCTCAAGTTACTTCTATGAAATTACTCAGTCCTACACCCTTGATATCGACTGATGGCTGACTTTGGAGTAGATTTTCAATAGCAACGTCTGGTGATTAACATTACAGGATGACACGACCTTGTGCTATTCTCTGAGTAAACAATTACATCCACATCATTTGAACTGAGGTAGATAGTTGTCTCATTGGCAATCATACCACATCTCCTTATTTTTTATCCCTGTTGACCTTCAATTTGTATCATTATTTTTTCCGTGCTCAGTGTCATTTCTTTCAATGCACATGAACGTTTAACAAAAGCTATTTCTATACTTAAGATTTTAAACCTATAAATTAACCAACAGGGTAACAACATATTGATAGATAAACCATTGTATTTTAACAATAAATATAACATTTATTCCGCCGAGGCAGAAATTAATCTAAAACAAACATCCAACACTTGATACGAAAATTAATGCCAACTTTGAATTGAATGGGTTCAATATACTATTTACGTACTCCCTGCGATACAAATCAACTCTGTATTATTTATGATAATGATTTTTAAAATCCATAGATATTTTTCTTATAATTGAACACCCATATCAGATATATTATTTGTAAAGGTTTTTTGTTATGTTTGTTTTAAACATATTATATTCTTAATTGATATACACTGCCGGTTGTAGATGACTTGGTCAAACCTCACACAGTACGCCTGACTTCTACAAAAGGATGACACTGTCAAAAGAAAGAAAGAAAATGATGGTAAATATGCATAATTTAGAAATTGAAATAATAATAATTGCCATTTACATAAAATTTAAGACGTCACACAAACTATTGTATTTTGTAAAAAAAAATTATAATTCCGATCGGCTTAGCAGAATGGTCGATCATTTTTAAAATAGATCAGATTTTTTACATTTAGAATGTTTTTTAGGCTATCTTACTAAATTGTAAGCCTGTTAACTTTGATGAGTTTTAACAACCACGGGGTCGATATCACTGCTGGTGGACGTTTTTCTCTATGAGGGTATATATAACCAGCGCAGTAGTTAGACCAGATGGTTTTGCATGTGGTAACTCAAATTACTCCATTTGATTTAAGTGTTGTTTTCTTTTTGACTTTTAAAATAAAATATTAAAAAAAAATATTTGAATATTATGTTCAAAACGGGCGAAACGCGAGTAAGTTGAAGTAGACACTTTGCATGGATAAATCAAGACAGTTCGAAGATTCATTCATAGACGGATTCACAAATTTAAAAAGTTGGATTGGTAACAAAAGTCATAACATTTTAGTGACTCATCGGTTGTTGATGCTTTATTGGATGTTACAGTTCCAGCTGCTAAAGCCTATACAATTGTGTTTTTTATATGCAAGTATCGCAGTTTTGGATGCCTCGTAGCAAAGAAAGGAATCGACAATACATCACGCTTACACTTCTGCACCCATCACCACAATAACAAACTATGAAAATTAATAAATCAAAAATACATGTAGTATACCATATTTCATGTAGTGGATATATTTGTATTTTAAAGCCTCAAGGGCTTCAATTTTATCGGTGTTAATTGCTTTCTCGTCAATTTTAACCATATCTCAAAAAAAACCAGACAGAAAACACGCGACTAGCCCTTTTTTGTATTGAAATGTATAAATCCTATGCAGGTACTTAATGAATCCTGTCGACAATTATATTTATATTTGAAATCAAATAATGCAAATATGAATCATACTAAACATATTTTATCGCTCAATCAAATTGCGGAAAAAAGAATCCGTATGGAATCTTTCTAAAGTAATCTAGACTGTATGTTTTATGCAATCATCTCCTTTAGTTCATTTAAAGAGGAATGCAATGGCATATGGACAGTTTAATTCAGAGTTCAGTGTTCATGACAAGTAATTCTGAGATTACAATTAATTATATCATCGAGACTAAAAATTACGGAATTCAAATACATGAAAATGCTGAGATTACCCAAAACTAACGGACATCAACAAAACATCATATAGTTAAAATTGTCTAATGTTGACTTTTTCCCTCTGAGAGTTTCAACCTTAGTTGTAGTGCAATTGCATAATTTGTGTTTGCCATGATAATTTATTTATTAATTTAAAGCTGTTACAATTACCTTACTGTTACAGCGTTCACGAGCAAGGTACCCTTATACATGATTATTAATATCTTTTAAGAACAGGTGTCTTAAAGATTAAAAAATACTTTATTGTATAATGTGTTAGTGATAATGGATAATAAGCAATAAGACTTATTAGGGAAAAAATAGAAAAGTGCGACTTTCAAATTGCTGTTCAATTAAAGGTCAGTATACGTTTTATTTTTAAGAAAATCAAGTAATGATTTTTGTTAAATAATTTGTAGCTCAGTCGTGATACAATGTAGACGTGGTTCTCTCATCTAACGCCTTCCTCCAAGGGTTGACTGAGTATAGAAATAAGTTCATCTCTGGACTTCTATGATCTGGCAGTAAACCACATACTAAAGAGGAGCGTCCATTATGATATGCAGAATGTTTAAATACGAAGTAACATTAGTTAAATCCGATTCCTCGTGTAGGTGTAGAGAGAGTGGCACGCTCTCTGCACATCATAGAGCCTTCACAACAACTCTTTGAGGGCAAAAAGAGTAAGGCCAATTTCGTCTGTATTTATTTCACACCAGGGCTGTTTTCAGAAAAGTAATTCAATCTTTACTTAAATTCATAGAAACAGCCAACAAAAGTTTCTTACAATATTTGGGATTATTTCTAAACAGGTCGTGAAATTATAAACGCCTAGAGAATGTCCAAAACAGCAATGTTGAGAGATTTTGTCAAATTTTTAGTATTTATCATAAAAATGAAGGACATCGGTAATCCAAACCAATATTATGTTGAAAGTTAATCTACCGGGTACATATTTGTTCATTTTGGTTGGCGATGAAAAATTTGCTGTTTTATGTAAACGTACATTCAACAGCAACAAGTAGTGATTTTTTATTTTATGGAAATATTTGAAATTGTGAGACACTACTTTAAGAATAGGAGATAGACTCTCTTGTATTCAATTTCCAGATGGATTTGACAACCTTGAGGTTTCGACCATGTGAGTAAAACAAAGACAGGGGGATTGAATATCCCTTTGGTATCATTCACCTCTTTTTTTTTCTCTATCCAACGGGCCATCGTTTTCTGTTGCAGCTGAAATTGCTGCCATTCATCCCGGTCGACCCATTTTACAGAACCTACCTATTGAATATATATTGTTATTGAAGCCCGAAAACGTTTAAATTAATGTTATTACAAAATGTCCATTAAAATAATACTTGCTTTAAAAACGAATTACCTAAATTGGTTTTGAGCTATATATACTTTAAATTGAATTGTAACAGAAGAACGAACTTATATGAATTAAAATCAAAATGTTTAAATCTTGGCAAAACTGCAAATTGTAACAAATGTATGGGTATATATATCGTCTTACAACAGCTATGCAACTTTCTAAATGAGACGAAAAATCACCAGTTGTACAGGCAGTTATAATAATAATCGAGATGAGTTTCATAATATTGTCATAGCAATTATTACGAATCTTATAAGGTAACTCGATTTGGAATTTAAACAATTGTAAAATTGTGGAGCATACTATTAAGAAAATCATGAATATAGGCTGTTCTATACTCAAACAGTAAACAGTAAACCCAAAGGGTAGCTAGGGTGTAGGAAATATGTATAATTGCTTCCTGAGATTCCTTTCCTCGGCAATAGGACACTTGATAAGAGAGAGTTGTCCATTTCAATTGATGAATTTAACAGTGACATCTAGAGAAGTTTGAGGTTAATATAAAGGACAAGCAGATGTGGTATGATTGCCAATGACACACCTATCCATCAGGGATCAATGACATAGATTTAAGCAACTATAGGCCATCGCATTGTCTTCTGCAATGATCAAAACCAGCACTGTATAGTAAGCAATAAAAGGCCCAGACAGATATTGATACACTCATACATAAAAGGATTTTGTATAATTATACCTCAAATGCTTACAGAAACTGTACAAACTTGTAATTAGATCCATTGTAAAAATAGCGGAGTATCAATTAAATTTTATTTGTAAATTTTTAAACCAAACTTATACTTCAAAGAGGTTTGAAAAAGTTTAAGACAAGATTATTACAGATTATACTTTAAATGAACAAATACCAAGTTCGAAACACATAAATTTAATTATCTTATAAGTAGTTTGCTCCACGGGTTCAATTTCATTTAAAGTATTTTTGATGTGTGGGTTCGATTTCGAGTACTGTAGAACGTCGCATTGTTGACAGTTTTGTTACATATTTATTTGTGTTTTGCAAACAAATAACAATAGGACATAAATACAATGGGAGGGACAATAACCAGTTAATTAACTTATTATATTGGTAGGATCATTTCTGGAATGTTACTCTATGTTTGTTATTTACCAGTGCCCTAGCTCTTTTGGGGCTGTAAAGTGACATTTATTGCAAATCTTGCAAAAGGAATTTTTCTCTGACAATAATTTCAAAATGGTAAGATTTAGTATAGCATATTGGTAAGATAATACCTCAAAATTACGAGATAATCACTTATAATTATGATATAATAGTTATAATTTGCTCTTTATGTATTCATTTTCTTACCACACTGAAGGGTAGCTAGGGTGTAAAATTTCGAAATGTAAGCAGTAAGACCCGTGCAGTCGTCTGTTCCAGATGTGTTATATATAAATTCGCAGTCATGTCCCACCTTACTGGGAATTGGCTCTTTGTATGATATACATAAAGTACTGGTCTAAACAAAAACTATTTGGTGAGGTTTCAATTGTTTATAACCACATTGACCGTAAATTATATAATACAGTTTCTTAAGACGAATTGATGTAAAAAGTGCCTAATACATTGTAAAACAAATACATTAATTGACATATTAGTTAACTGATAAAGAATTTGATTTAATAATCCAGAGATATATTTTATAATAATGAGATGGTAAATCGTTTGTGGTACACTCTCCAACAATTGAGACATCATGACAAGAAATTATGGTATATTCCAATACAATATAGCTGCGGCGGGGATTTTAGCGTGATTGACCGTGTGTTTGTCTCTCTATTACACTTTTATTTTCATAATATAACTCCGTCTTTAAAATTACAAGCTTGTAGGTACCATGGACTTCCAATTATGCATCAGTTTCGAATTCACTTTGTGAAATAACCCTAGTAAATTTTACGGTTGGATATCAAAGGTCGAGGTGATTTGGAAAATATTGTTCAAGAGATAAACCTCTAATTTTTTTATTTTTTTTTTGGTAGGGTTCTTGTTCTTTAGTTTTCTATGCTGTGTTCTGTGTACTGTTGTTTATCTTTTCGTCGTTTTATTTAATGCCATGACTTTATCAGTCTGTTTACGACTTTTGAGTTGGAATATCCCTTTGGTATCTCACTGATGTATCAAAGTAGTATATATGTCATCACTACATTTCTGTCGATGCTTCTATTTCCATATACTTACTTATGCTATCATACAAGAGTATACATTTATAAGCGTACTAGGAGAAAACTGGAAAGTGTGTGTGTGTGTGTGGCGGGGAGACTTCTGAAGGTGTCAAAATCATCTTTAGTATAATAGTCTAGAGGTAATTCAGTGTCTTCTTACACTTTCATTTCTTATTCTATGTATTTTTTGTTGCCAAAGAGAACTGGCAAACAAAATATTACCCATCTTTTTAATGCG